TGACACAGCAAGACATATTTAAGAGGAATATTTAAGATGACCTGAACATAAAAAGGTGAGCAATCTTCTCATATACAACAAAAATGTTTCTTTGTTGAAATATACCTGTCGTATAGTTTGTTCATCATTAGCAGACAACAAAAACCAGATGCTGGCAGTTTAACAGCGTTTCCTTTTTGTATCATCACTCACAACTACACGACAAGTGGTGCGTGGGTATTCACAAGTGAACATTTTGGAAAGGTGGGGAAAATGCAAAAGTCTTGACATAGCAGTTTTGCTTGCGTCACGTGACGTGGTTCGGCTGTATAGTCTGTTGAGCTGGTTTCATGGCTTTTGTTGGGAGATTAGTAGAGCACACACAGAGTGGTGATAGGTCCGGTCTGCTGCGGCAGAGACGGCCTCAGCAATGCAACACTGACAAATACGACCAAACCTGACCAGACCCCACAAAATTCCTAACCATACCTTAGTTAAAAGCCGGGTCCGTAGAGCTTCAAATTCACCGTTGGTATGCATCAGCCTGTCGACTGACTCGGTCAAACTCTGGGATTTTTTATTGGTCATTTTCTTGTCCGTCACTGGTTCTTCGTGACCAAAGAGTGGCGTAAGAAAGCATCTTTTACGCGACTCTCTGTGGCCCCCTCCAATGAACCCCCACCTCGAGTCAAGGATCATCATCTGCCAACACAGTAAGTCAATGGGGAAGCTTTAAGAGCATTTCAAACCAGCGTGTTTCACCGTTTGCTGTGTTCAGGTGGTTAGTTGGCTCTTTACATGCGCTGCTGTTGGTTCACACATAACCGCAATGGGAAGGTCATGGAGCTGCAGTGGAGGAGGGAGATGGTAAAAGTTGATTGGGAGAAATGGTACTGAGAGAAGAGAGATCTCTTGCCTGCGCTCTCCCATTCTTTCTTTATCCCATTGTCAGGGGACAATGATTGTGATTGGTTCACCTCTCGCAATGGTGCAGGGTAAAACTACCTGAACTTTTCTGTTCCCCGATGCTCCATGGCTCCAGGTCCTCTTCCTCATCTTCATCCTCCTCTTCTTCATAGTGGCTGGGTTCTTCAATGGAGCTCTCCACACGGTAGCAATAGGGCTGACCTTCTGTGTACTCATAGATGGTGGGCAAACTGCCCTTTAGACTACAGCGTCGCCGTAGGGCCACCAGAAGAGGCTGAGAACAGAGTAAAAACAGTTAAACAACTTTTGGGTTACAATTAATTACTGATGATGCCTGTAGAATGTCTATTGTCTGGTTGTGTGTTACAGAAAATCATGAAGTCTCCTTACCGAATTTATTTCTTATTAGATGGGATACTAGCAGTAATTAACAGTTACTTCACAGAGAAAGTTGGTTAACGTAAAAAATTATTGTATTGTAAGGTCAAACTAAATGAGAAGCATATAGTAAAAATACTGATAACACTTCACAATATAGTTCAATTTTTAACATCAGTTAATGCATTAAGTATCATGAACAATCAAAAAGCAACAAAATGTATTAATCTAGGTCCATGTTAAACTATAAATATATTATTGTTAATTCATGTTTGTTCATAATGCATTATATTTTGTATGTATATATATATATATATATATACTGACAGCGTTGTACCTTTTCCCAAGAGTGTATTATATTATATTATAATTTGTTATAATTTATAATTATACGTAAAATGTATACTGTATAAATGAACAGAAACCAATAAAAATACTGTAAAAGTATTGTTCATTGTTAGTTCAGGATACCTAAAGCACTAACTAATGTTAACAAATTGATGCTTTTATCCTCAGGGAAATCCCATCCAAATAGGACTTTAATTAAATGGTTCACCCTGCCAGTTGAAAATGGTGAGTGAAAACATATAAAACAAATATTTATCTTGCATAACCTGATTCATCCAAGTAGAACATGTTCTTGGATCAACATCCTTGATGTTCTTGGTACAACATTACAATCAGCCAATAATATTTTAGGCTAAGAAATATGATTGGGCCTAAGGCTGGAGTTAGGTTTGATAGGCAGACAATGTTCTTGTCTCTAATTTTAGGGGTAGGTTAAAGTAGGGCTATGACTGTTTGTCAGCAAATATTGCTCCAGGAGCATCAAGGATGTCCTACTAGGCTAATCCATGTTGTACCTCTTATAAAGCAGGCAACATGTCTTGTAGTACAACCGTGTTTTACACAAAATAAAGCATTTATCTCAGTGTAATTATTACAATAAGGGGAACTGTAATTGATTTTAAGATTCTGTTGTTTTACCTGTGGCATGGTAAATATGTCCACGTTGTTGCCCAGGTCAGCCCAGGCAAGACAACTGAACTTCTTGGAATCTTTGAGGGCTTCAGTCAGATCTTTAAGGATGCCAAGAGTCAGACGGTTCCCATTGAGAGCCAGTGTTGTGAGTTTGGGCAATGCACCCAGGAAGGGCAGAAGTAGATGTAGGCCCTCGTCCCGGAGCTCAGTGAAACTAAGATCTACGGATATCACAGCGCCCCCACTGGTCTGGAGGTAATACGCCACATGCCGTATGTCACGAGTTGATAAAGGGATGCCAGACAGGTCCACAGAGTCACTGCAGAGCTTCTTCTGAAGTGTTGTTTTAAGACTGAAAAGTGAAAAAAAAAACTAATATTATATACAGAGGAATTCAATGAGAAAACTAAAAACAGATATACAAGCATTAGAGTGATTTGGACTGTAAATCTGATAATTTACAACAAATAAGGAAATGCTGCGGCTTTAACAAAATAGAGGTTAAGGATTTGAATACTTGGTCTTTATTGAAAACCATTTTTTCTGGCTATGAGCTGGTACTTTCCGTTACTTTAAATTACAGGGACAGGGGTAAGAAGGCTGCTGTGGTGTGGGCAGAGCTTGGGATATGCCACTGAGTGTGCTTCCATTCACATCACAGTTTTGTCTGAAAATGATCAAATCTTGAGTTGTTACAATCATGTCAGAATTCAGAACAAGCATTCATTTCATAATGTACTAAAGCAAAGTTGGCTACACTTTTCAAAAACGAGTGTTTTTCAGCTTATTAGCTTGAATGGATTGCTTTAAGACTACTTTATAATTTCATTACAAATGTAGAAATTACATTTATTTATGTACATTTTAATATTTTAGTGAATAAAATTGTAAAACAGTTGCATGAAATAACAATCCATGTTTTTGTACGTGAATAATTAACATATGCCAATATACTGTATGTATGGGAGATTTTAATGAAGCACAGATGGATGCTGATTGGATATCAGACTCTAAACACATCATTTTGGGTCCTGCATAGATACATGCACACTGGTGGTCACTATTTCAACAGAAAAACTTATTTGATTGTCTACCATTCATGTATTTTTGTCCCACCTGTAAGCCTGGCTTCTCTATATGAGGATACTGTGATCTCTCAAATGGGTGGGACTTTGCAACGAATGACCAGTAATTAAAATTTGTTGATTTAGATGATCATAGCTGACGTTGAAGTCATTATAACATTTAGTGTTATCAAACTCATCGTTGGCCTTTGGAATTTGATTATTGCATAATCATAAGCAAGTCATTTTACTGTCTAGTACATTAGTGTGGTTAGAGAAGCAGCTTTTGGTGAAGAACACTGTAGATATAAAACAAGAAACAAAAAAAACAAAACTGAGCGCACAGTTTGTTATTGTCTGACATCTGTGTTTGCCAACTTGCGAGAAGCATGAGTTGGCAGTTATATATGTAAATTTCATCTTCACTGTATCAATACTGATAAACATCTATTCAGTGAATATTGTCCTTTGCAATTCTTTGTTCAATGACTTAGCCAAGCTGTCATGGGAGATACCCTAAGGTACAAAAGCTAAAAGGTGCATCTCTGTACTTTATTTACCCCCAAATGGTACATATTAGTACATTAAAGGTACATATTAGTATTTCAAAAGTACTTTAAAAGTACATATTAGTATCTAAAGTGTACATATTAGTACCTTTTGAAATGGTACCACCCAGTGAGTTTTTTTTCTTCCTGATAGTGTATATTCAATTTATGTGCATATTATCCTCTAACTTCAAAAGCTGGCATTGAGAGCTTTTGCAGAAATCAGATGAGAGCTTTCTTGCATGTATTGCCAGTTATGACATAGTCTTGACTTTGCCAAACTGAACCTTCTGTTTCTTCTTTTTGAGTCATTAGTTGGTGTGTTTAGTCTATTTGCAAGGCCCAATTATGTTTCAGCATGAAAGGTATTCTCATGTACTCTATGATGCGATGTAAAAATTCATAGTAGGCTTATGATGGCAAGCAGAAATGCAGCCCTATAGCGCTTCTACCATCATGCTCTTTGATATGAGGTTATTTGGCAAAACTATAAATGTCTGGCTTCACTTCAGTCATGCATATACATTTCTTTTTAGAAGCTTCTTTCTGTGATGACTTGGGTCTGTAAAGTTGTGTTGTCACACAATATTATTTTAGTGTGTACTTTACCATAGACTTGATAAGACTTGCCTGTAAATTACTTAAATAGCAAAAATTAGTGCAAACAGTCAAATCCAGTCAAAACAGACAAACCAGTTAATCAGTGACTTCTTCACACCAATTTATGTGTCCAATTTGTCTATGCATGAGCATATTGTGGCATGTCTTTGTGTATGCAAGTCAAATACTGTAAGAACATAGATGTACTGTACTGTACAAAGTGGCACTGGGAAACATACAGTCTGTAAGAAGAGGTGATATTAGAGCTATATAAGAGATTGATGAAACCTCCTAAAGTATTATTTTCTTCTCAAATAATTTCTGAAGTAAGGTTCACAGTCAGAGTTCACTATTGTTCTGCCAAATTGCACTGAAAACTGGATCCCTGCTGCTGGTGAAAGCTGCTGTTATTCATTTTTTTGTTTGTTTCTGATGATGTTTGCAGGCAGCAGATAGAATCAGTGCCTTTCTGCTCACCCAAAATAAATCTTCTTTACACTCTCAAAACAGTTCCACACACACAGTTCCATGTACAGTTGCTAAGACATCCATATTTAGTTCAAACATTCAACTGAGCTGCCATTTTTTAGATTTGAATATTAGACTAGTCAAAACTTGCTCCTTTGAATGTAAGAGAACATGAATATTTTTGAATAATAACAGAATTTTTTTTTACAGAAAGATAAGAATGTTTATTGGTGTAATTCAATATTAAAATACTTCCCCAGTCTAATATCCAAAGTTAAATATAAGCTATTCCCTTGTGAAAAAGAAGTGCACTTAATTGTATTGAATATGCAGTTAGACTTAAAATCTTAGAAGTATGTAAAATGCTACTTTCAGATTATAAAGCAATAAGCCCCAAGAAGCCGTGGTTTACAGTGAATTTATAACAGCTAAGGGGCGTTGTTAGGCACGACGCGAAGCGGAGTAAACCACAGCTTCACGGGGCTTATTGCTTTTATAAAACGGTTATTCCATATACGTAGTAAGGTTTCATAAAATAAAACAGAGCAAATAAAGTGTAATGATATTAATAAAAACAGTATTCTTCCACCAAACAATGTAGTTCCTCAGAATCAGTTGTGGTTGCAACAAAGTGGTTGCCAAGCAACAGACAAACGTAAACAAAGGTGTATGTTTGTAGAGTAATTTACAACAGCTTAGAACGTGGCTCAGCCAATCAGAATCAAGGACCGGAACTATCTGTTTTATAATATAATATTAATGAAACAAAAGGGCACTTAAGTGTACTTAAAGAGCATACAATTTCATCACTGTATTAACAAACTTAAATAAACTTGTAAAAAGTGCATTTTGTTATAATGTCAAATGAAAAGTTTACTTTAAATTACATTTTAAATTATTATGCTTTGATAATCGTGTTTCTTGTTTCTTAATAATCTTTATAGAAGCACACTTATTTTGATGTGTTGACTAACATCTAAAGCACCTATACTTGCACCTATACTAAAGTATTTGATTATTATTTTAACTCTAGTGTGTTTTTGATATTACATAAAAGTTAATATACTTTAAATGTACTACATGGCAACTTCATTAAAAATGTAAAAACTACAAATATATCTAAATACATGACATACATGTTTCAATAGACATGGCATTGAAAGTATATTTTAATTTACCATAAATGTCAGTCCATTTGGCAGTACACTTTAACCATAATTTATATAAAGATGTATAGTCCTTAAGTTGGTCAAAAAAGCACTCTCAAGTTCAACAAATTGCATTTAATATAAATTTGAATTATAATGCATTTTCATTTAATTGTAAATAACATGCAATTAAGTGTCTGAAAACATTACATTCATTTCACCATTAACTAAGTATATTATTTCCATAATAAGTACTCTTTTTTTAAGGCATGATAAGTGTACTTCTTTTTCATTTTCTCAGTAACTCTGTGGTTCTATTAAAACACTGATCAGTTTGTATGAGGACTAGACTAGCATGACAACCTGTGATGTGAGTTTGGGGTGTGGCTTTCTCTTTAGTTGACCAATGGCAGACAAGGGGGCGTTTTCAGGAAACCTTTTGTAAGACATTATTTTTCCAATTCCTTTTGGTGTCAGTAATGGTACTAAAATTATACACTTCACCTTTAAAACCAAGTAAAAATGTTTATGCTGTCACAAGATAATTTTATTTATTTATTTATTAAATTAAGTGAATATTAAGATCATCAAAAGAACAAAGTTCCTCCCCACCTCAGTCCTCTATCCATATTACCATCTCTGTGCCAGTCTGTGTGCTTCATTTTGACCTGGTTCTATTAACAGGATCAATAGCATGTAAACACAGACACACACAGACATACATCTACTTGAAAATCACTCAGCTCCACAGATGTACATAATACTTTCTTCATGATTTGGGTCACATGGTAACAATGAAGAGATTTAAATGGAAATAGGGAGTCCTGTAATATATACTGCCACACAAACCACAGGACAGAGATCAAAAAAACATTCATTTGCCAAAGAAAACACACACACACACACACACACACACACACATACACCCACACTGAGATGCAAATGTATTATTACAATCCTCTCAAAGGCTGATGTCTCTTCATGAAATCCCACTGACAGTCTTCCTCTATTTTCCTATCACTGGTAGCAGGTGGCATCGCTCTTCTGTGTTTGGGCCCAAATTCAATTTATTTGCCAAATATAACACCAGGTCCAACCCCCTGGGGTTTGTGCTGTATACGAGTATCCACAGGCTTTATTTTAACATACAGTGGTTCTTTTAAGCTTGCTGCCTCATTGCTGCTAACTCACAAGCCAATCTGCTTTGCCTTTAAACAGTGACATTTGAGTGATCTCTGTGATTAAATAGCAATAGGTTGGCCCATGAAAAAACTGTGTGCTTTGATGAAATGCTGAAGAAGTTCTTTGAAGATGCTTTAGGGATCAGTTTAAATAAAAAGTCAGCCAGGGAGGTGCTTTTGAGAGAAAATAAGATTAGTCTGACCTACCAAACTTGCTTCAGATCTGATTTATTTAAAGGCTAGGACAAATTGGTTATTAAAAACAATTCATATTATTTATTTATTAGTTTATTTCTGCATTTTGCCATTTTAAGCACTGCAAAAAGTGAAAAAAACAAATCTT